TTGTTTTTATCTTTCAATTTAAATCCAAGACAAATTCTATATTATAATAAAAAACAAATCAAAAAACAGAGATATATCCCCAAAACACAAATATCCTTTTTAAAGTTTTGTATTTGAACATACATATCTCTCATACACAACATTTTAATCAATTGAAAATGTAAGAATTAAATACTATCATATAATTACTACTTTATTGATATATCACTTCATTTTCACTTCACAGAATAATATAAAGTAAATCGACATTTGGTCTTTTTTAGACCACAATTGTTTTCACCACCTGTCGATATTTAATCACGATTGTATATGCAAAACTTTAATAATGCAGTTTTGAATAAATACACTTAAAAATGTACTATAGTTCAGTTAAAAATACAAGATATAAACATCAATTTAAACCATTAATGGTTTTTATTTTTTGATTAAAAAATAAAACAACATAATTTTAACACCAAATAAACTGCTTTTTATGATAATTGTTGGATTTTCTTGTTATTTCCCAAATAAACTAACCAATTAAAAAAATATTATAACTGAAACACAACCAAATGGAATTAATAAATCTTTAAAACCGTTTTGATTATTATTTCTTTTATTTTGCAAAACAAAAGAAGAGCAAAGAACAAGGACAAGTGGGCAGTGGTGGTGATGGATGGTCTTGGTTCACATTTCAATGAAGAAGTATCTAAATGGTTCACCGAAAACCACGTGGCTGTTTTGAAATTGTTCCCACGTTCTTCACACATCACTCAACCACTTGACGTGTCTGTTTTTGGAGTTCAAAATGTTTGTTTCTTTTTTAATAATAAAATATAAAAATTAATTATAATAAACTAAAAGTTAGAAACTTATCCAACTTCCTCAAGTTGACGAAGACTTAAGTTTTGAACCAACTGATTTACAATCTTTGGACCATATTTTGGGTACTCTGAACTTGGAAGACGTAAACTGTGCCAATAGCAAAAAAGACATTATAAGGGTCTATATGAGGGGAGATTGACAAAGGCTGATTTGGTTAAATTCACCAGAAATCCTTTGTCCAAACAAATAATATCGATCTGTGCGTCTTGGGACAAAGCGACTTCTGGTGTTACCATTGTCAACGCGTTCAGAAAGTGTGGGTTCTTCAACACCCAGTACGTCAAAGGGGAGAGAGACTTGCTTGCGCGTCAAGTTATTTCCAGAAAGATCGAAATTGATGATGACTTTCTTGGGAGAACCGGTGTCATTTGAAAGAGAGCGATTAGTTGGAAGGAAGTAAGGTATTTGCACGAGACATACCTGAGTATGATGATGAGTATGATGATGGTGATATTTGGCAAGAAGTTTAATATAGAGAACTTTACCAACGTTATTCGACTTGGTTTACTGTTTTTCTGATTTTTTGTTAAAATGTATAAAACAATTTAGAAATAGTATAATGTATAAATAGTTATTAATCATATAAATATTTTATATTTTTATAATACATATTTAATATATAATAGTTTAATAAAAACCCATAATATTTATATAAAAGTATTTTAAATTAAAATACAAATCGAGTCTCAAAGAGTAATTAAATATTTCTTAAAGTGGGTTTGTTTTAGACCGTTTTTCAAAGCAATAATAAAGTTTATAATTTAATATTTAAATAAAAAAAATATCATTTGTATC